GCGGGGGGGGGGGGGGAGAAAGTCGTAGATCAGAGTGAGGGTGGGAGAGAGCGAGAGAGAAGGATAGGGCGCGATGGCGGGAGGGAAAGAAAGGGAGCTAGTGAGAGGCGCTCGGACGAAGGCGTCGGCCCTCCTCCGGGAGTCCGAAGAAGCGGCCGCTCGGTCGGCGCTACTCCGTGAGACCGTGTCACCCCCACCACGAGGCCCACTGCCGGGGCTCTTGGGTCTGTGCGGTCCGAGGTCCGGGCCAGTGAGAGCTATCGCTCTTGCGGGGCTGCACGCGATTTTCTTGCCTCTCCCTCTCTATTCCTCCTCCCTTTCTCACTCCTACACCAATATTCTCTTTCGTCTCATCGAGCCTCATCCGTTACGCGCGACAAGATACACGTGTTCAGCACCCTCGGCCGGCATGGTACACACGAGCTACGCCCAATGGGCCTGCTTGCCCAGCACCTACCGCAACAAGGTTCGTACCATTCGTCTCACCAGTCGATCCAGCTTCCGATCCACCTTGTTTTATTATTTGGTGGGACACTGCGGCGACCGGGGCCAAGGAAAAAATGACTGTTGGCTTTGAGTTGCCGTAACCTTTGCGGTTTACAGCCAAATTAGCAAATGCTCGTCGAATCAGTGCTTGAAAATTTCATCCCTGCCAACGCTTTACCTTCCTTTATTATATATCTGCTCCCTCTCTTCTCTTCTCTCTTGTTCTCACTCACTCACTCACTCACTCTCTCTCTCTCTCTCTCTCTCTCTCTCTCTCTCTCGCTTCCCTTTTCATCGAGCGGTGATGATTCAAGCGTGGTGAAGTTACTTGCTGTTTTTTTTTTGTACCGGAGAGAGGATCTAACGAAGGTGCAATTAAAGTGAAAGAGTTTTATTAATTCACGGGAGTTTTAAGACAGTTTTCTTGCGACTCTAACCTGTACATCGATTTAGTGATGGCTGGATACAGTTTCGTAATTAATGGACTGTGATTGCGACACTCTCGATAATTATGTGAAATTATTTTTATTAATCGTAATATGTCCTTGGCTCTATACGTGTTATATAGCTATGATTGGCTACGATATTCATTGGAATTAATCTTTACGTAACGCTTATATTTCGCTTCAATTAATATAGTGTATGTAAATAATATTAGAAAAATGATTCCTTTAAAAGTGCATGCCAGCGCGATTTATAAACACGGCATTTTTCTGGAAAAGGCATTAAAAAGTTTGTGCAGTGTCGTTAATTTGTTCCGGAAAAATATGCATTGCATCGGTATTTTAGCCCAAATAAGTTTACTACCCGGTTAAATCAATCTTAACAATCTTTGTTCAGCCTTTCGACATCTTAAGCTTATAGATGAAATAATAATAATCCGGCCTGACTGACTCACCACCTTACGTACCTTCACGAATAAATTCAGAGTCTCTTTACATATTTGCATGCAGTGCGTGTTAATGGTAAAGCATTTGTTTTTATAGAAAATGCCATACGCGAATGGTCATACATACATCCGCTAGGATCTACTAATTTCCAATTGAAACTTCATTTCCAAATAGTATTGAGCATAATGATATGAAAAACAAAGCAAAAAAAAAAAAAAAACAAAGAAAAAGTTCATTAAGGAATTCGCGAAAAATTTTGAGAAAAGCGCGAAGATTTAAATATTATAGTCGCACTGACCAACGATCGACGATGTATTTTTCTTCACAACTTAACGCACCTCTTCCTTCTCTTATTACGTGCCGTGTAAAAAGTTTTTATTATCCTGGACATTACTATAGCCTGAATTATATATGAAATAAATAAGCTGAAGGGTCTCGACGGACGTTTTGAAAAAATTTTGATACCCAACATCTCCTTCAAAAGTTTGAAAAATACCATTGTAAATCGAAGACCCTCGTAGAAAAAAAGATTCTAAACTTTATTTTCCAAATGCACATGAAATCTTTTACTCCGATTGTTAAATAACCTTGAACTCTTAAGCGGGACACGCTACTATCATCAAAGCACGCCATCCAAACAAATTCGACGCCATTGTCGTATCT